AATGCTAAACAGGGAATCTGATATGAATATGGGAAACATACTAATGTCTTCAAACTACATTACTTTGTAAAGAGCCTGCCTACACTGCGACAACTGCCTTTCAAAAACATAAAACTGAATAAGTCTCGGGATTGTTCTGGTACAGTGGGGTCTTGACTTAAGAACGGCTTGAGTTAAGAACATTTTGACTTAAGAACCGCTCTCATAGGAAAATATTGACTTGACTTAAGTACTTAGATTTGAGTTAAGAACTGAAAAAAAACCATGTGGGAGGCAGGGAAAGTGCAAAATTTGAACTTTCAGTTAACTGTTGGCCAGTGAAAAGGGTCCCTGTCTGCTTCCTCGCTCCTCCCAGCGTTTAAAGAGTGGATTGGGAGACAGTCTTCGGACTGCCTGGTACTGTACTGCCTGGACTGTATTTTCCCTGCCTTCCCTGAACCTTTCTTGACCTAAGAAAAAAAGAAACAAAATATCCCCCTCTAGTGGTCGAAGGCAGAATAGCAGCTTCCCATTAGTTTCTATGGACGGAAAAGAGCAGATACGGATCAAATGGTTTTCAATGCTTTCCTATGGGAAATGCAGATTTGACTTGAGAACATTTTGACTTGAGAACCACCTTCCAATACGGATTAAGTTCTCAAGTGAAGACCCCACTGTATCTTAGGAAGCAATGCAGATACCTCTTGTCCCGAATTAAAACTATTCCCTTCTAGTCCTTACACAGGGACTGTTGGCACCCAAGTCTTCTGGAGTTACCTTTCAAAGAGGCAGCAACACTACTAGCTGCTCCAGAAAAATGGCTAGGGAATGAATATCATTGTTGGCTGGGTATTTGAATAATTCCTGGCTCCAAGGAGGTCCTTGGGATCAACACAGCACAGGCAATTATTGGCCATGCCCCTACATGCGACAAATGTTATCTTTACAGCTATAATCCACAGATATTCTTGGACTAAAACACCAATAAGCCTTCAACACTAGCTGTGCTAGCCAGGATTGCTGGGAGATGCAGTTCGAGAACATCTGGAGGTTGGGAAGCACTACTCTAGAGAGACAACATATTATCATCTTCTAATTCCACAGCTGCTATCTTATCTTTTTTTCTGCCCTTGGTGTGCAAACATGAGATGCTATTTTACATTTAAAAAAAAATACTCCAGTTGGCATTTCTCCAGAGTGGAGTTAGCCTACCACTGCTGAACACATCTGTTTTGCTCAATCAAACAATATGCCACATAATGTTTTTGCACTTAAACAACTCAAAACCCAATGTCTGTTTGTCTTAGTGTGAGAGAAACTGGCAGTAGCTTCTTTGCAAAAGTAAAGGACATACAGTATTGCACTACTGCTATCTACAGATACAAATGCATGGTGAAATTTCATCTAGTCAAAGAGAATATTTATCTGTTTCTGCTGGCACCAGAAATTTGGCTGCATCACAGAGGTATTTTGCCATTGTTGTTGTTATGTGCTATCAAGTTGCCTCAGAGGAATCTCCTATGTGTCCTGTCCTCAATGACCCTGCTTAGCTCTTCTAAACTCAAGCCTGTGGTTTCCTTTAGGGAATCAGTCCATCTCATATTTGGTCTTCCTCTTTTCCTGCTGCCTTCAACTTTTCTCAGCATTATTGTCTTTTCCATAAAATCTTGCCTTCTTATAAAGTGCACAACGTAGGACAACCCTGATTTCAAAGTTTTTGCCCCCCACCCAGAGATAGTTCAGGCTTAAGTTGCTCCAGGACCCACTTGTTTCTCTTTCTGGCCATCTGGGGTTATCCCCAAAGTTCTCCTCCAGCACCACATTTCAAATGAATTAATTATTTTCCTGTGTAATTTTTTTTCCTGTCCAGCATTCACATCCATACATGGTGATCTGAAATACAAGAGTATATATGATCTTGATCTTCAGTGACACATCCTTATGCTTGCTTATTTTTTTTCCAGTTCCTCCATTGCTGCCCTTTGGAGTCTCAGCCTTCTTCTAATTTCTTGGCTGCCATCTCCATTTGGATTGAGGATGAAACAAAAATATAAAGAATCCTTAACTATTTCAATTTCTTCATTCTTAGTATTAAGGTTGTGTAGTTCTTCTGTAGTTATGATTTTGCAATAGCACATGATATATTCTAGATTAGGATGGCTGCTGCTCCATTGGCAAAAGAGAGGGCAGACTTCTCCAAAAAGAGGATATAGAGGACAAGGAATACCAATAATGAGGTCATTCTTTACAAAAAAGAGGGATTTTTATATCAAATTTGCATATAGTAATTTAAACTAATATATGCAAATATGATTAGACAGTATTGTGATAGTATAAGTGTAAATATACTATGGGTACCAGTGGGGTGTAATGGATAGATTAATGGACTAGGATTCAGGAGACTTGAGTTCAGTTTCCAAGCTTTGCTATGAAAACTCGCCATACAGTAATCTGGGAACAGATGCGTGCTATGAGAACAAATCAAGGAAACCAAATGTTTGAAGAAACCTTTTCATGCCTTCAGCCAGTCAACTGTGCTTGCCAGAAAGAAATGGCCAGTATGCATTTCAAAGGAACAGAACTATGGTCCTCTTGTTTATCTGCTGTATAGGTTATTTCAAAGTAAGCTTTGATATGTGAGTTAGACCTCGCTGGGGAAGTTTCTTCCTGCCCAAGGGTATCATAATTTGGACTGAGGGATGAAACCCCATTAAAGGAGGCAGTTCATTAGCCTGGAGACACTTGAACAGGGTGAACAGCAATGACAAGTAATTAACGCATCTGTAACATCAAACACTGTCCTCTATACAGTAAGCCTGAGAGAACTGGTGACAAAACAGAACTTAGCATTCTCACATAAGGAAAAACTTTGTCTCTCAGGAATGGGTCTGCCTATGCTTGAGAAGATCCCATTCAAGGTCGCAATATGGGTTCTACATAAAGTTTCAGGGGATCATGCCAGGAACAGCAGAATAAGCTGCTCTGAAAGCAAAGGGCAGGACAGATACCAATGAGCTTACTTTGATACTCTGATTAACACAATTAAATCCCCTACTAATGAATTTTAAAAAGATTCGGTGCACCTGACCTTTCTTACAAATGTTAAAGTTGCTTGTGAAGTAAACTGCCTTCTACTACTGAATCTCCAAGATGCTGTAACCTTCCCCTCGCTTTTCTTTTTTTCTTTTTGTATGAGTTTTAGACTCTATAGTTGTGTACCACCATATCGTTTAAAGGTATACAGTGGTGCCTCGCAAGACAAATGCCTCGCAGGACAAAAAAACTTGCAAGACAAATGGTTTTGGCAATGGGGTTGATGACTCGCAAGACAAATGTTCCTATGGCCGTGCTTCGCAAGACGACTGTTTCCCGTTTTTTTGTTCCTGCTTCATGTTTGCTGATTTTTAAATGTTTTTCTATGTTGTTTATAAAGTTAAAGTTTTTTGATTGAAATTTTTTAAATCATCTGCACAATATGTGTGGCTTTAAAAACACGTAATAAACCCTTTGTAAATCAAATTTGACTTTGTTCTGACTTTTTTTGCCCATAGGAAAAGGGGGGCCTTTAGATTTCAATGCATTCCTATGGGAAAATGCGTTTCGCAAGATGAATTTCTCACAAGACAACATTAACCGCGGAGTGAATTAAATTCGTCTTGTGAGGCACCACTGTATTGTTATTTGAGGTCTTATGGGGTTTTACATTTTCACCTGTAAACTGCCCAGTGTAGTGCTTACACTAATGGGGTTGTATATCAAGAAACCGATCTCATGCTAATCAGTTTCCCCAGCCTTTCATTTATCCTCCAAAGGTTTTCATCAGTCCTTGTGTGTCATAACACATTTCCCTTTTATCCAACCATTGTATAGAAATCTCATAACCACTCTCCCCCCCCCCCTTTTAACATCCACAGCTTTTCAACATACGTCTTTCAAAGCCATGGTGAAAATTCTGGCCTTCAGACATATGTCTATACATCTTTAGCCAGCTTGAGCACACTTTTTCCCTCACCTCAGCTAGCAGCCAAATTGTAGCAAAACTGGGGCTTACCACAAACAAAACAGAAGGACTGAAAGGTGACAGAATTTGACTCAGAACATAGCACTGAGACAAAACTTAACAACTCTTAATCAGATTGACAGGAAAAACAAGTACTGGGCAACTTTGAAATCAAAGCTAATGATAAGAATTGCCGGGATATAAGTTATAATTGGCTATAAGAAAACCATCAATCCTCACTCACAATTAGTCTTGAAGGGCAGTTTTGCTGCACCCAGGGCAGAGGTCACTGTCTGCCTTCCCAAAACAGAAAAGGCAGACCCCAAACATGAAGCATCCTGCCTTAGGGTGATAAATACACCTATTGAATTCTCTCTCTCTCTCTCTCTGTGGTTACACTTTCTTTACAATCTAAAAGAAAGGGTGAGAAATGTTAGTAGCTAGAGATGGAGGTATTCATATTCGTATATGAATATCCCCATGTAGCTGGAGTTAACAAGGGTCCAGCCCCTGCGGTCGGACCATCCACTCACACATCCGGGAGTGGCAGTGGCCCCTCTCTTCCTTCCAATCGCTCCGCAGCACTACGGCAGTGGCCCCTCTCTTCCTTCCAATCACTGTGCAGCACTGCTCAGCTAGCCATCTTGCAGCCTTGCAGGGCGACTTGTCCTCCCTCCTTCTGCTAGGAGTGGCTAGATGACCCAGTGGCCCCTCTCTTCCTTCCAATCACTGTGCAGCACTGCTCAGCTAGCCATCTTGCAGCCTTGCAGGGCGACTTGTCCTCCCTCCTTCTGCCAGGAGTGGCTAGATGACCGGGAAGAGAGAGGGGCTCCAGGAGGGATTGGAAAGATGAGTGGGGTTGGCGGTTGCACCAGACATGTGATTAACCCTTGTTAACTCCAGCTGCACAGAGATATTTGTATTTCTATACGAATACCTCCATCTCTATTAGTAGCACAGCTTGGCCAATACGATACAAAATTATAACATACTGAATATAAACAGAGAAGTTTTGTTTTACCATAACTCCAAACATCCGTCTGATGTGTGAACTTCCTATAATGTATGCACTCGAGGGCCATCCATTTAATTGGCATCTAGGATGTGGAAAAGAGAGAGAAAATAAGCCCAAGAAGTAAAGAAAACATCGTTATTCTAGTAAATATCTCCAAAATCCAGATTAAGTACCCATGTTTTCATGTTAATATTTCTTAAGTTTCATTTGGGTTTGCTTAATTATGAGGCTTGACTAATCTAAGACTGAGCCCGTGGCGTTTTCTGGAGCTGGTCATATCTGAAGTGTTCTTTGAACGTGGCAAATGTGATCTGAAATTTTAATTGTATGAACTACCCAAATGTGAATGCTAAAATTAAGAAAAATGCTTTGGCAACATTGTTTGGATACCTCAGCTGTACAGATTAGGCAGAACTGCCCAACTGGCATAACATTTTCTGAGACAACAAACCTTCTGCTAGAAAGGTGCCTCAAGACTGTATTGTTTTTACTCCAAAAGTTGCCTGTCCAAAAATTTTACCTAGAAACAAGCATCTCAAAAGAGATCAAAGAGAAGTTTGTTCAGTTTTACTTTTGCTAAGAACTTTTCAACATTTACTGATGTTGTTATAAGCAAAATAGAAACCTTTGTGGTGTTGTTTCTTAAAGAACAAGAAAAAATGAGAGATTTGTCTGTCCCTAAACCTGATTAGCTTTAGTCCTGCAGTAGTATAGTATGCACAAATGATTAGATTGATTAGTAGCTATGATGCTTGTGTACATTCAAACAGCCATTTCACTGAAGACACTGCTGCATGGATAGATGCAAACGTTTGGATGAGCATTGGATTTCTGTCCAACATGATTTTCTGTGCATTTGAACTGTTTGTGATTCCTGCATATTTCCTTAGTTGGACTGGAGGGTGCATGTTCAGTAGAAAATGTTCTAACTACAATGTAATATTTTTTGAAATGAACATCTTTGCTAGCACAATTGCATGGGATCACACTGTTGTCAAGTGGCTGCGCAAGGCTGCTACTTTTTTTGTAACTAGTTCCAGAACTACTTGAACAACTAGTTGCATAACTATTTTTACACCAAAACGCTTTCTTTCTTCCGAAATTGTGCAATTGATCATACAGTGGCATCACTGGATACAGATAGTATCTGAAATGCAGCAATATGTCTACAACTGGAGTAGGTCCATTCAATCAGTGCGGATTCTGTGAATCAACTCCCCAATACGTTCCACTGATTCAATCGGTCTCCTCTATTTAGACCTTACTGCTGGATTTCAGCCACTTCCTTCACTGAGTTATTTTATTATTTCACATATTTGTTCTCCCTTGTGCTTCACTTCTTCCAAATTCAGATTTAACAAATGTAACGTATGTAACTAAATCCACCATTGATGTACTCTTTTTTTGCAACTTTCCTTCAGTCTCATCATATCTCTCCCTCACATCCTTGCCATGTTATTGGTGGTGATATGACTTCAACAAAACAGCATAGAAATATGATAATTGTATATGCAATTGTTTTGTACAGTGCCCGCACATATGTTTCTATATACTGTCAAAACAACACACATAAATAATATTGTTACAACCCTACATGCAATTACATCAAGATTAATTTTTGTATCGTTTTTACTGCTCAGCAATCGGTCTTCTCCACCAAGACTAACAACCAACTTCAAACCTAATGTTCTCTCTCTCTCTCTCTCTGGCAACTCCTTGGTTATCAAGCACTACCCTAAGGAACCCTGGAATCATCTGTGTAGGTTCTTTTGTTGTAAGTTATTGTGCAGAGTTTTGAGCACCGTACACAGGGTGAAACCCTAAATCCACGTGTGTAAAGGCAATTTCACATGTGCTTTCTGCCACCCAGAGTAGACCTTTGGTCTAGATGGGTGGGGTAGAAGTCTAATAAATAAATAATAAATTTCCCAGGTTGCTGGGTGCATGCCCATCAATTGCACGACCAGGGGAAGACTGGGTGTTCAGTAAATATCCTGGGAAGTGGGTAACGTTGCTTAGGCAACCACCCTTAGGCAATTGTGTAAGGTAAGTGTATTCTAGCCATAAAGTAACTAGATTGTCTACAATTCAGCATCCTCTTATTTTTTTAATATGTACACTAAATCAGCAGAGATGAGAACAGAGCAAAAATGATCTTCAAATCCTTGTGGCTAGAATTCAATAGGTTATGGAAGTGCATCAGAAGAAGTTTTGCTCTTCCATTTCCATGGAGGTCACTATTCTTTTTGCCCCTTGACTGATCTCATGGAAATTATAGTCATGTTAGGAACTACAGCAATAAATTGGAAGTGTGCTTCAAAAGGTGCATTGGAAGAAATAAATACGTAGAAGGTTTTATTTACCTATCCCATTATTTCAGTCAGATATGCATCTAAATGTTCAGGTTCTAATTAGTTTGTGTCACTGTTTCCAAATCCAATAACTAACTTGTATAAGACTGTCTATATCTAGTTAATATTTTTCCATTCAAATGTACTAGCTGAAAAAATGGGCACATCCAGCTATCAGGAATTCATTTCCTAGAGACAAAGTGTACTGGACAGAACAGAACCCAAGGAGAGGATGAGATACAGCATTTCAGAGAAGGTCCAGAGGAGGTTAGTCTGATAAGGCAAACAGGGTAGTCTCCCACCACAGCCTAGGGATGTAAATCTTCATCATTTAATGTTTTCATTATTTGTTAATGCACCATTTAATTCTTTCATCATTTGTTATTTAATCCTTTCAGTGAGAATGACAAAAAGTGTGAAATGTTCCCCCACTGGGCGAGATTATGAGAGGTTTTGTACATTTTGCAAAAAAACCCCATTCACACTACATGTGGGTTTTGGCTTTAATTTTTTGCTTTGCTTTGCTCTGCTTTGGTACCAAACCATTTTTTGTTTTGTTTTGTTTTGGTGGGTTAATGCTGCTGAAAAAAAGGGGCCCTGGTCTCTTCCTTCTTGTGCAGGAGCAAAACATTTAACAATGTTCAACTGAGAGAAAGAGAAAGGGAGAGAGAGAGAGAATGTGTGAATGTTTGCGGGTACTTGTGTTTGTACACATCCACTTTTGCTCCTGGCTCGGCCTGCCATTCCTGGCTGTACCCACCATTGGCCGCTTTGCTTTCCACCTATCCAACCAGAAAGAGCACCAGCTGCAATATTTGGAATAAAAATTGAAGCTGTCAGATTACTGTGGCATTCCTACACATTAATGCTGTGAAACAGCTGTGACTCCTTAAATTTCAGTTCATAACAACATCAAAGCCATCAAACTTCTTTACTCAAATGTTTATCAAAGCCCATCTTCAACTTTTCTAGAAAAGCTTCATGGGCGAGATTTGGCTAGTATGGAATAGTTTAAGCAACCTCTAAAGATGGAGTTTTTGTTTTTGTTTGACTTTAATCTTCTTGCAGTTATACTCTTGTTTAATTTTCTTATTTTCCCTGTAAAATGCATGCTTCTGGAAATGAATCCCTAAAATATCAAGAAAGCCTAAATAATAAAATACACAATTTCCAAGAATTTTACAGCATAATCCAATACAGAAATATGCCTCTCAGTGAATTCAGAGGTGGTGTACTTAAGCATGCATGGATTTGCATTGTCTGTGGTACGTTTTCCTTAGAATCCTTCTCTAGTGTAAATTTTGGTGTAAATGCCAGCTAACTTGTCTGTGCTAACTTGTTAACTAGCAGCAATTCAATGCTGAAATATATGCTTATGGACTTATGTTGGCATAATTCTTCAGCTGGATTCCAGTCAATATACCCACCAGCAAAGTACTGAAGGACAAACCAGTGGAACTGATTTCCTTTTTTCCATGGCATTTCCCAGGGCACTGCAGAGTAGATCAGGGGTATGTGGTATATGCAAGAAGAGGTAAAGCCAGTGAATGAGCAAAAAAATCTCCTTGTGTGATGATGGACATAACTGTAATAGTCAGGGGTTGTCGCTTTAAAGTAAGAAGAGAATATGACTGCATGAAAATAATAGTTTTATACAACTATAAATGAGATGGAGAAAATGCAAGGGAAAATCAATTCTTTCTAACACTGAAATAGCACTTCCCTCTAGGGTTGGATAAATGATCCTTCCATTTTATTTAGCATTTTTCTATCTGTTTATAAAGCAGGCATCAGAGGGATTCAAAACTAAGATTTATCGGCTCAGATGCAAGAGCTGAGGGATCTTGGTTTAAGAAGACATTGCCCCAAACAATAACTTAATTTACATAAACCAGTTCTACATCTCATACATCTCATTATATTAAGTTGTACACAATCTATTTGTCAATCAAGATACAGACTGAAAACTAAGATTCTTTCAAATTCTAAACCAGTTTCTGGGCTTAGAACACGCACCTTCCCACCATCAGCACTGTATTCTTTTTCATCCCCTTCCAGGAGTCTTGCCAGGCCAAAGTCTGTGATCTTCACGTGATTTGGTGATTTCACCAAGACATTCCGGGCTGCCAAGTCTCGGTGAACCAGTCTCCTCTCTTCCAGATACATCATGCCCTAAGAAGAAAAAAACATTAAAACACATTTTCAGTATAATGATGCACATATTTGTATGTAACTTTTCTTAGAAACGTTCCATTTTCTTTTCAATTGTATTTTTCTTACTCTAAATATTGATCCTGTCTTGGGTCAGTTTATAAAGATTTTTTTAGAGGATGCTGCAAATGTGCATTTGTTGCAAATTCTTATATGAAATGTCATGTTCTCCAGCTCTAACATAGGAAGCAGACCTGACTTGTCCACCAGATTCTGTACTACACTCCATGTGATAATGCAAATTTCATTGGTTTCAACATATCAAAATCCCTCTTTAAATCCATATTTTATGGGGGGAAATACACATATTATATATTACAATACAATCTCGAGGACTTTTTTTTAACAAAGTTTAGCAGAAAGAGGAAAGAACTGTGTTACGGGTAAAAACATTGCAAAAGTTAGATACACTGGAGCCAAATTTGCCCATTGCTGTTTTTTCTTAACCAGTGGTAGTTTTTGTAGATGCCTTTCTTTACAGCAGTTCCTTGGCTTTACCTTTAACCCCAGACAGCAGAACTTGAAAAAAGGTATACTTTCAGTGAAATGTGTCAACACTATAACAAAGGTCCTGCCAAAATGGTCTGTGTCCTTTGATATTCCTGCTTTATTGTCAAGATGAACTACTAAAACTTTTATGCGTTCAGATAACAACTTCTCAAAGGAGACCATATGTAGCCCAACTGCCCTTCTTCCAAGTGTATATGAGGAGAGAATTTATGACAAAGCAGAACATGTTCACTTTGTTAGTTTTAGAAGTAAGTCCTGTGGTCATATATATATCCAAGAATGTCTGGAAGAGGTTGTCCATGTTTGGATTTTAACAAGAACAGTCCCATAAGCGAACTAGAGCAAGGTGAACAGAGAAACAGTGCAATCTTATTTATGTCTACTCTGAAGGAAGGCTCATTATGTTCAATGAGACTTACTCCAAGGGAAGATGTATAGGATTACAGCCTAAGAGAAGATCTTAAACTGTAATTATATACATTTACTGGAAAGAGTTATTTCGGTGATTGCACTGCTATTTATGAGAACTTAACCTTAGAATTTGACCACATTTACTGTACTTGCTACTTACCTATAGAGATGGAGAGATTCAGCTCAATTCACCTTTCTCAAACTAATAACTAATTAATTATTTTCTAATCTTTTTTTAAGGCAGTTCTCCAATTTTTTAAAAAACCCACAAATTATATTATGAGATAGTCACGTAAGTATAAAGGTTTTTTTTTAAAAGATAGGCACTTCTAATGCATTTCTCCTATATGTTTTGTACACATTTCCCCTAACATGTTCATGTATGTATGTACTTTTCATGGAGATTCTTTATTAAAAACAGTCTGATGTTGACCTAGGACAGACCAAGCTGGAACATTAAGTTGTAGAAACTGAAACCAATGGATGTATCTGTAAGTATTAAGCTGCATGAAGTCAGGAATGCCTCCACAGTAGAACTGTTGGGGAGAGTTGGAGGACAAAGCCTCACCATAACAGCAAACATCCACTCCCACAATGCTAGATTTCACCCTCTGATTGTTTTCTGCAACACACAGGTATCATATAGGCAACCATCATACAAAATGAGAATTGGTCTTTCTCCTCAATAGCAACACTGATAAACTTGAAAAACTGGAGTTTGATAACTTTTTTTCCAATGGTGAATGTAAAAAGGTATGAGAAACAGATATTTGAAATATGCTAGGAAAGTCTGTAATTAAACAAGTCTTTCTGGAATCTTCTCGTATACACAGTATTGTTCTTACCAGAGGGCTACAGAAATATGATGCAGAGATGGTCAATCAGAACTTGCCAATCTATTATCATGAGAAGCTGACATGAAACCATTTTAGGATAACCAGATGATCAAATGATCTGAATGATGCAGTGACCTGATAATTTAGCAGGGACTCGTATATTTAGACTTGTTTTATTTACCCAGGTTTTGGCTTTAATGAGAGCTTACAGGTGCAAATACTTCGTGGCTCTGCCAGAACTGTGACCTTGAGCACGCTATGATACCACGCTTTCCCTTGATGCATATTTTGCAGTATAAAAGCCAAAGCATCCCATTTCACATGGCTAGTATAAAATAAATGCCCAAAGGCAGTATAATAATCAGGGATTGATTTTATTAGAAAACACAGATGCATTTGTAAGCATTAGATGGGGAAAACTTCAGCTGTATTGCAGCAAAAATGGTAAAACAATATGATTTTAAGTAGGAGAGGTGTGTGTGTGAAATTGACATAACCATTCTTGAAATGGATATAGGATGCTTGGCATAATCCACTCTTGTTTTCCTTTTGCTGTTTTTGCTCTCTTGTTTTTGGATATTTTACAGAGCGGTCAGCAGTGAAGAGGTTTTGAAGCAGAGCCACAAATATTTCTTGGGCACAGAATACACAGCATTAAATTTTCAAATAGGCTTTAACTGGCCGAAGCAAGCACATTCCCTCCTGCCAATTGCAAATCAATGCTGCTGGTTGTTAAACATCAGAACTGTAGAACACTGAAGGATTAACAGCTTCTGACATCAAACTTCAAGCTGTAAAAAAGAACAATAACCAGGCGAATAAATCATACAGGGTCAAATGATTATGAGCCATATACTGGACATGGTATTAAAAGGTAGATTGCTTTACATAACCCCTGATGCTGCAAAGGCATTAACACGTTTAAAATGAGAGTAAGAATAATAACAATTTTGTAAAACTTGTAAAAGAAAATGATAGAGTGACAAAAATTAGTGCCCTAGCCATTATGCAAAAATATAACTTGCCAGCCTCCATGGGAACATCAGGTAGAGAAGGTTTCAGAAAATGAGGAAGTCAACAACTTGTGGATCCAAATGGATAGACACCTTGAACATAAGACACCAGACATAGGAGTGATAGAATGAAGAAATGTCTGGATCACTGACACTACGATTCTAGAGGATGCCAGAGTTAAAAATAAGGAATTGGAAAAACTGACAAAGTACAGAGACCTGGCAATCGAAACATCTCGCCTCTGGAAGAAACAAATTTCAGTGGTCCCCGTAGTCTTTGGGGCTTTGGGAACTATATCAACAAACTTCACACAGTACTATAAGCAGTTGCAGATCTCAGAAATCCACACAATCAGAGCTCAAAAAATGGCAGTATTAGCATACATACTGCACTGATATTTCACAGATATTTACCGTATTTGCCCAAAAATACCTAACCGGAAAATTAGCCCTAGTATGATTTTTCAGGATGCTTGTAATATAAGCCCTAGCCCAAAAATAAGCCCTAGTTAAGTTAAACCCTGCCCTCCACCATTATGCAGCAACCAGAAGAAGATATGACTGCATCTGAATAAATGTTGATTGCTGTACATGAAAAATATAAATGAATAAAACATCCCCTGAAAATAAACTTAATGTAGTTTTTGGAGCAAAAATTAATGAAAGACCCTGTCTTATTTTTGAGGGAAACATGGTAGGTTTTTGGTGAAAACTTGTATCTGTTATATAATACCAGTAAATGTTTTTATAATTTTGACTGTAGCTGGTGTTAATAACAAACAATAACAATAACAATAACAATAACAATAACAATAACAATAACAATAACAATAACAATAACAATAACAATAACAATAACAACAACAACAACAACAACAACAAC